TCCCCTCAAGTGAATTGAGAAATATTTGACTTGACAGTCAGTAAAGTATTATGGATTTAACTGCCTCATGAAATCACACCAATTATGTCTATTTTAACATTTTCTACATTGGTAATTATGTGCCAATGCAGAAAGTAGTAAACTTTTCATCTAAAGCAAATAAAGTTATTGTACAGAAGTGTTGGGTAGGTCCTTTTATTTTCTTTTGACAGCCATCGCTCTGTTTTGTCCGGTTTCACTTTTTACATTGATATGATTCTGTTTTTCATTATTGTTTGACTATTTTTTCACAATAATAATCTTTAGTTATCATGTCCAAACATTCAGTCTTTATTGGTGATCCAAAATGAGATACATTAGTAAGAAACCTTCTTAAACATTACTAACAATATACTTTTTTTTTTGCACTTGGCAAAGATGTCTCACTATAATTCGAAGAACATCCATTATCAATGTAGGTGAAGCTTTTATATTTTGTTCACAAGTTGACTCTATTAGTCTGACACTGACATCTCTTGAAAAGATCTTGATGCTTGAATCCAGCATCTACACAGAAAGGCAGACAGACAGAGAGATGGAGTGATGGACTTCTCTGGGAGCTTGTCTGTATGGCATTTAACTCCAGAATAAAAGCTAAGACCAGGGTCACAGATGCTGGAATTTGTTTAATATAGTTAAGTGACCAATATAATTTACATCGTGCATCGTGGGACAACACATAACCAGTGTGTTGTCAGACATTGTTTAGCATAAACTTCTGGGGATTGTTGTCTTACTATTATCACGATGAAATGCTTTGAGCGGATCAATTTAGAATGAGTCTGGTTCTTGTTTGTGGCTTCAAGTTTGTGACATCTTACAATGACAACACACTGCCTGCTCATCAGACTGTGAGGAAAACTGATGCCTCATGAGTTTTTGTCTTTAAACAGAGAGACAGAAATGTTGAAGGGTCTAACTTGTGTAATAATTAATAATGGGAGCTAAAGGTTGTTGACTTTAAAGTTTATATTTGGTCCTATGTAACGTTGTAATTGCTTTAATATTAAATCTCACACGTATAGAAGTTTTAACCAAACAATACTTTCCCTTTTGGTGCAGACATGCTGAACAGCTCTTTAAGAATATGTTTGGTGGGTCTTAGCCTCAACCACCTTCACTTCACATTACAATGAAATGCACACATACTTATTTTATATGCCCAAGCTATAAATTCTAAAACGCATTCCCTTGTGATTGACAGATTTCTTGCTTTTTTAAACCATGAATAAGATCAAATACTGATATGTCTGTTCATAGTTTTTTAAGGAAATCCAAGTTGTCGAATTAGCTTTTTTGTATGATTTCTAAAGTTATCTTTATATATATTTTTAAAAATACCTTTAGAAAATCATACACCCCAGTGTTATATCTCACAAAGTACTCAAGGTGTCAGTGTGCACTAATAAACGAGGCTGCACGGTCACTCTCCACCCTTTTACGTCGAGAAATGTAAAGCCAGATTCCAGTATTGTGCAGCACTGGAAAAAACAGCTTGGTATAATGGCTGCAGATTAACTAATTTTGAAAATCGAAGGAGATCACGAATGCAACGTGGATTTTATTTTGTTGAAAACTTACATTTTAGTGGTCTTTTGTTTCGTCGTTATAATGGGGAACAACAGATTTGCGCTGCTCCGCGGCCTTGTTGTAATTTTTCTTGCCCTCCACCTCGTCCACGGGACGTGAGCTACTCTATCCCGGAGGAGATGAAACGTGGATCTGTAATTGGAAATATCGCTAAGGATCTGGGACTTGATTTGGGCAGGCTGTCTGCTCGCAAGGCCCGAATCGACACTGAAGACAACAACGTTCAGTACTCCGGTGTGAATCTCAGCACCGGAGACTTGATTGTGCAAGAAAGGATAGACAGAGAAGGGCTTTGTGCGAAAAAGGCATCGTGTGTTCTAAAACAGGAACTCGTACTGGAAAATCCTTTAGAACTGCACCGTGTTAGTATCCGCGTTGAAGATATTAATGACAATTCACCGCAGTTTAAAGAGGAGTCACTTAAATTCGAAATTAGGGAGTCGGCGGACAAGGGTGCACGTTTTCTTCTTGGAGAAGCTCACGATGGAGACATCGGAGAAAATGCTGTTCAGGGCTACTCGCTTCAACAGAATGATCATTTCAAATTAAATGTAAACACAAAGGCAGGTGGGCGAAAGCACTGTGAATTAGTTTTAGACAAAGAGTTAGACAGAGAGGACAAAACTGAGATCATGTTATTGCTTACCGCATTTGATGGCGGCTCTCCTCAGAGATCAGGCACTGTAGTCATTCACGTCACTGTGCTGGATGCTAATGATAATGTACCAGTGTTTAGCCAGACCGTCTATAAAGCTACTCTGCCTGAAAGCTCTCCTCTAGATACACTGGTGATCACAGTGAGTGCAACGGATGCAGACGAAGGTTTAAATAGCGAAATTACCTATGGATTTGATCATGTTTCAGATGAAAACAGCAACGCATTTTCTTTACACCCTAAAACTGGAGAGGTGAGAGTAGCTGGATCTATTGATTATGAGAAAGTTTCATCTTATGAAATGCAGATCAGCGCAAAAGATGGTTTGGGATTAGTTTCATACGCAACGTTAATTATTGAAATTACTGATATAAACGACAACGCCCCTGTCATATATCTAAAATCACTCTCTGACCCCATACCTGAGAACGTGTCACCTGGTACAGAGGTGGGCATCATTAACGTGCAGGACAGAGACTCTGAGAGTAACGGACAGGTCCGCTGCTCCATTCAGCAAAACGCCCCCTTTAAGTTGGTTCCTTCTATTAAAAACTATTATTCTCTGGTGACCACAGGACAACTGGACCGTGAACTAGTGTCTGATTACAACATTACAATCACCGCCACTGACGAGGGCTCTCCACCTCTGTCCTCCTCTAAAACTGTTCAGTTATCTGTAGCAGACATCAACGACAACCCACCGGTGTTTGAGGAACAGTCCTACAGCGCATATGTGACTGAAAATAACAAACCTGGCTCCACTTTATGTTCCGTTAGTGCTCGAGACCCCGACTGGAGACAAAACGGTACAGTGATTTATTCTCTGTTACCCGGTGAGGTGAACGGTGCCCCGGTGTCCTCCTATCTGTCTGTTAACGGAGACACGGGGGTGATCCACGCTGTGAGGTCGTTTGATTATGAACAGTTCAGGAGTTTTAAAGTCCACGTGATGGCCAGAGACAACGGTTCTCCTCCGCTCAGCAGCAACGTGACCGTCAGTGTCTTCATATCGGATGTGAACGACAACTCTCCTCAGATACTGTACCCCGCCCCGGAGGGCAACTCCTTCATGACCGAGCTGGTCCCCAAAGCTGCACACGGAGGCTCTCTGGTGTCCAAAGTGATAGCGGTGGACGCGGACTCCGGACAGAACGCCTGGCTGTCCTATCATATAGTCAAATCCACCGATCCGGGACTTTTCACTATCGGGGTCCACAGCGGAGAGATCAGGACCCAGCGGGACATTTCTGAGTCTGACAGCATGAAACAGAACCTTATTGTGGCAGTGAAAGATAACGGACAGCCCTCTCTCTCTGCCACCTGCTCCATGTATTTACTTATTTCTGATAACTTGGCTGAGGTGCCAGAACTGAAGGACATTTCTTATGATGAAGAACTCCAAGCTGACGTCATACCTGATCATCGCGCTGGTGTCTGTGTCCACCTTTTTCCTGACCTTCATTATCATCATCCTGGGTGTGAGGTTTTGTCGCAGGAGAAAGCCCAGACTGTTGTTTGATGGAGCAGTCGCCATCCCCAGCGCTTATCTCCCTCCTAATTACGCAGATGTTGACGGCACAGGAACTTTACGCAGCACTTACAATTATGACGCCTACCTGACAACGGGTTCTAGGACCAGTGACTTTAAGTTCGTGTCATCTTACAATGACAACACACTGCCTGCTGACCAGACTCTGAGGAAAAGTCCAACAGACTTTGCTGATGCGTTTGGAGATCCTGAAGTCTCTCCAAAGGTACGGCAATCTGAAAACCCATGGTGTTGTGATGTTTCTTCATTTGTACCTGACAGTGCTTGTTAATACGTCCCACAAAACTAGGCCATCATAGAAAAGACGTTTGAAGATGGTGTGGAAAGAGACTTTTCACACAATTGGCAAAATCTGATTGAGTCAGAGGCTTGTATTCTCACAATGTATTTAGGAGGATATCTTTTAGACAAAATTCATGGTACAATTTGAGTGTTTATGTTTTAGACCAAGTGAGATTCACTTAAAACGTTGTTGCTGTTGTCTGGTATACATGCCTTATTGTACTGATAAGACCTATGTGATTCCAGTCAGGTGGTTTCTTATAATTAGGGTATTATCTGATCAGACTCTACTAAAGTTTCCTTATTATTTTTTGTCATATTCTTTGCTTTCAGTGTATTCTTAATTACACATGGATTCATATTGAACCAAAAAGGTCTATCGAGTGTTCAAAAACCTTTGTGTCAGTGGGGCTTTAACGTTGAATTGGCTAACTCTATAGAAACATTGGTAGTTTTTACTTGGTGCTATTGTGGCCTTTATGACTTTTAATAGGAATGAAAAAGAATACGCTCATAGAAACATATTTTTTTTCCTTTCTCTGTCTGTCAGCTTTAGGGTTTGGTAGTATCTTTAAGCCTTTCAACAGATATGATTAGTTTGAATTATTCCGTGTATGACTTTGCATCTTGATGTATTGTAAGAACGTATTTCATTTTTCCGGTTAACCTGTGCTTAAGTATATCAGAAGACTGATCTGTGAGAGACAAAACATTAACAATATTAATAGCATAACTCATTTTAATAATAATAGTTTTAGCGTATTTACAGTGTGTCATTTCTTTTTTCCACTCATGGTGTCGCTATACACCAGTCTACCAGAAACATTTCCACTCCACCCGTTCGTGTATAGACCAATAAAAGGGCAATTTTCCAGTTGCTGTTGGTCCTTGGATGAAGACAGAGTAACTGCTGAGGGCTTTTCATTTTCATTTGACTTAACTGTATAATCCTTTTTGATTTTGTAATCAAATCCAGGACATTTGTTCTGCAACAAACGCATTGCCATGATGGGGCTTCAGCAGGGCTGTTTTGTTTTCGTTCTAATGTGGCAAGCCGTGCATGGGGACGTGAGCTACTCGTTTCAAGAGGAAATGAAGCGCGGATTTCTTATTGGGAATATAGCAAAGGATCTCCACCTGGACTCGAGTAAACTGTCTGCTAGAAATGCCCGTGTTGATGCCGCAGGGAATCGCAAGCGTTTTTGTGAGATCAATCTCAGTAGTGGGGATTTATTTGTGGCCGAACGGATTGACCGAGAAGGGCTTTGTGGAGAAAAGCTGTCGTGTGTGATAAAACGCGATCTTGTACTGGAGAATCCTCTGGAACTTCATCCTTTCAGTCTTCACATTCAAGATATTAATGATAACTCGCCGCAATTTAACGAAGAATCCATCAATATAGAAATTCGAGAGTCCGCAGTCAGGGGAGCTCGTTTTGTGATAGAAGAGGCGCACGATGCGGATGTAGGACAGAATTCAGTTCAGCAGTACAGCCTCGAAAAGAATGACAATTTCATTTTGGCTGCTAATGGAAACACAATAGAGCTTGTTCTTGATAAAGAGCTTGATCGAGAGAAACAAAAAGAGATCAATTTGCTCCTTACAGCTCTAGATGGTGGCTCCCCTCAGAGATCAGGTACAGCAGTGATACACGTCACCGTGCTGGATGCTAATGATAACGCCCCAGTGTTCAGCCAGGCCATTTATAAAGCTAGTCTGCCTGAAAACTCTCCTTTAGATACTGTAGTGGTCACAGTGAAGGCAACTGACGCAGACGAGGGAATCAATGGAGATGTGATTTATGAATTTGGACATGTTACTGAAGATGTGAAGAAAATATTTAGTATCGACCGTAAAAATGGCAAAATAAAAGTTACTGGTGCGATTGACTTTGAAACTGTTACCACATATGATTTGCGCATTAAAGCAAAAGATGGTTTAGGATTATCCTCATACACAAAGGTAACTGTTGATGTCACCGATATCAATGACAACATACCTGTAATCTTTGTTAAATCTCTGGCAAATGCCATACCTGAGAACGTGTCACCTGGTACAGAGGTGGGAATCATTAATGTGCAGGACGCAGATTCTGATAATAACCAACAGGTCCGCTGCTCCATTCAGCAAAACGCTCCCTTTAAGTTGGTTCCTTCTATTAAAAACTATTATTCTCTGGTGACCACAGGACAACTGGACCGTGAACTAGTGTCTGATTACAACATTACAATCACCGCCACTGACGAGGGCTCTCCACCTCTGTCCTCCTCTAAAACTGTTCAGTTATCTGTAGCAGACATCAACGACAACCCACCGGTGTTTGAGGAACAGTCCTACAGCGCATATGTGACTGAAAATAACAAACCTGGCTCCACTTTATGTTCCGTTAGTGCTCGAGACCCCGACTGGAGACAAAACGGTACAGTGATTTATTCTCTGTTACCCGGTGAGGTGAACGGTGCCCCGGTGTCCTCCTATCTGTCTGTTAACGGAGACACGGGGGTGATCCACGCTGTGAGGTCGTTTGATTATGAACAGTTCAGGAGTTTTAAAGTCCACGTGATGGCCAGAGACAACGGTTCTCCTCCGCTCAGCAGCAACGTGACCGTCAGTGTCTTCATATCGGATGTGAACGACAACTCTCCTCAGATACTGTACCCCGCCCCGGAGGGCAACTCCTTCATGACCGAGCTGGTCCCCAAAGCTGCACACGGAGGCTCTCTGGTGTCCAAAGTGATAGCGGTGGACGCGGACTCCGGACAGAACGCCTGGCTGTCCTATCATATAGTCAAATCCACTGATCCGGGACTTTTCACTATCGGGGTCCACAGCGGAGAGATCAGGACCCAGCGGGACATTTCTGAGTCTGACAGCATGAAACAGAACCTTATTGTGGCAGTGAAAGATAACGGACAGCCCTCTCTCTCTGCCACCTGCTCCATGTATTTACTTATTTCTGATAACTTGGCTGAGGTGCCAGAACTGAAGGACATTTCTTATGATGAGAAGAACTCCAAGCTGACGTCATACCTGATCATCGCGCTGGTGTCTGTGTCCACCTTTTTCCTGACCTTCATTATCATCATCCTGGGTGTGAGGTTTTGTCGCAGGAGAAAGCCCAGACTGTTGTTTGATGGAGCAGTCGCCATCCCCAGCGCTTATCTCCCTCCTAATTACGCAGATGTTGACGGCACAGGAACTTTACGCAGCACTTACAATTATGACGCCTACCTGACAACGGGTTCTAGGACCAGTGACTTTAAGTTCGTGTCATCTTACAATGACAACACACTGCCTGCTGACCAGACTCTGAGGAAAAGTCCGACTGACTTTGCTGATGCGTTTGGAGATTGTGATGCTTCTCCTGAGGTAGGAACAGGTGCCACATCTCGTTGGTCCTGCTATTAGCTGACACCCATCGAATATGTTCCATAACTGTCTTTGTATTTGGTTAATTTAGTTCCAGTTCAAAGTTTCTACAAGCTATAATGCCTAGATGTTGTTTTTTAGGTGTCCCTAATTGTGATCTAACTTGATGGGGAAAGCATTTAGCTGAGCATCTGAAATATTGATTTTAGTTGTGTTTTTTATATCCAGATTCAGTGTTTATTTTGTTTTGTTTGGAGGAAATATTCTTTCAAGCGGTTTGACTCTGATGTCTGGCTCGATTTTTTACCGGTTTACCAATCACCAGTCATTTAGCTGTATGCACACAACCATTCTTTGCATCTCAAGCACGTTTTTAGTATTTCTGTTGAAACATCATAGATTGTCTATCTATTCCTCCGTCCATCTCTTTCTCCTCATAAATTGTTCAGTCTTTTTTTCTTCAGTATATATTGACTCTTCTATCCCAAGCTCTTCAAGTGAAATTCAACTGTAGTATGAGTGTCTTTAAATGCTGTTGGTCAGATTAGCTGTTACGTCTAAGATTATACTGTAATAAGTTTGTATTTATGAGTACACATCACTGGTGCGTTCACATGTTTGTCTAGTTGAGCTGCATCTAGTACACTGTGTCTGTCCTTTGTGCTGCCTCGCTGCTACTCTGTTGTTGCTTTTTCAGTAGCAACTTACATCCGTCCTGTTATATATTACAATTTTAAAATATAAATATGCTTATATGTTTTAGATTTTAGCTTTCCTTATATCCAGACATGTCCACTTTGTAAGTGATGTTGTTCCTCTCCATTGTTTTCAATGAGAGGAAAAAATCCCATCAGATGAAATGAGAAATATTCAACTTCTCCGTTAGTAAAATATTATGTATTTAATTGCTTCCCGAGGTCCTACAACTTACGTCTATTTTATAGTTTTCTATATTAGTAATTTAGTTATGTACCAATGCAACAAGTGCTATAATTTTCATCTAAAGAAAATAACATTTTTTTCAGAAGTGGTGGGTAGGTCCTTACATTTTGTTTTGATAACTGATGCACATGAGTTTTCCCTTTTCAAACTGTTTAATTTCTTAAATTAATTTGATTCTTTTGTCATTATTATATTATACATTTTCATTGACTAATATTTCACAATGGTAATCTTAAGTTACTATGCCCCAACATTGTACGAATCACAGATTAACATACGTTGGTAGGAAACATTCATAAACATTACTAACAAAACATTTTCTGCTCTTATCTGACATGCCCGACTATAATTTGAAGAATATCTATTACCATCAATGTAGGTGAAGCTGTTATATTTTGTTTATAGATTGATTCTATTAGTCTGACACTGACATTTCTCGAAAAACATATTGCTGTTTAAATCCAGCGTCTGAATGTAGACAGACAGAGAGATGGAGATATGGACTTATCTGGGAGCTTGTCTGTATGGCATTTAACTCCAGAATAAAAGCTAAGACCAGGGTCACATATGCTGGAATTTGTTTGATTTAGTTAAGTGACCCATATTATATACAGCATGCATCATGGGACAACAAAAAAACAGTGTGTGGTCTGACATTGTTTATTGTAAACATTTGGGATTGTAATCCTACTATTATTACTATGAAAATGGATCATCTTAGAATGAGTCTGGTTCTGGTTTGTGACTTCAAGTTTGTGACATTTTACAATGACAACACACTGCCTGCCGATCAGACTGTGAGAAAAAGTCCAACAGACTTTGTTGATGCCTCATGAGTTTCTGTCTTTAAACTGGGAAACAGAAATGCTGAAGGGTCTAACTTGTGTAGTAATTACTGATGTGAGCTAAAGGTTTTTGACTTCGGAGTTTTGGTTTGGTCCTATGAAAGTCGTCATTGCTTTAATATTACATCTCTCATATAGAAGTTTTAACCAAACAAGGCGTTCCCTTTTGGTGCGGACATGCTGAACAGCTCTTTAAGAATATGTTTGGGGGGTCTTAGCCTCAACCACCTTCACTTCACATTATAATGAAACGCACACATTCTTGTTATTTATGCTGAAGCTGTAAATTCTGTAGCCACATTTTTAAGGCTGTTCTTACTTTGTTTTTGTTTTTTTGTAGTCCTTCTCTCTGTCTTCATGCAAGGTTGCTCTCTTTCCGGGGATAACTTTTGAATTCCCTTCCTCTATCCATGGTGCTGAAAGCAGTTTTATCTCCAGCTACATTTTTTCAAACCAACACTCTCCCTTTTCTGTGCAGTTAGTCTGAATATGTATTGCCACGTAGCTTTATTCTTAAAACCATTAATAATATCAAAATACTTGTGTTTTTCATAGTGTTTCTTAAGAAACCCAAGTTGTCGAATTAGCTTTTGTTTGAAGATAAATAAAGTTATTTGTGTATGTTTCTCATACCCCTTCTGAAAACCATACACCCCAGTGTTATATCTCACAAAGTACTCAAGGTGTCAGTGTGCACTAATAAACGAGGCTGCAAGGTCACTCTCCACCCTTTTACGTCGAGAAATGTAAAGCCAGATTCCAGTATTGTGCAGCACTGGAATAAAACAGCTTGGTATAATGGCTGCAGATTAACTAATTTTGAAAATCCAAGGAGATCACGAATGCAACGTGGATTTTATTTTGTTGAAAACTTACATTTTTGTGGTCTTTTGTTTCGTCGTTATAATGGGGAACAACAGATTTGCGCTGCTCCGCGGCCTTGTTGTAATTTTTCTTGCCCTCCACCTCGTCCACGGAGACGTGAGCTACTCTATCCCGGAGGAGATGAAACGTGGATCTGTAATTGGAAATATCGCTAAGGATCTGGGACTTGATTTAGGCAGAATGTCTGCTCGCAAGGCCCGAATCGATACAGAGAATAACAGTGTTAAATACTGCGGTGTGAATCTCAGCACCGGAGACTTGATTGTGCAAGAAAGGATAGACAGAGAAGGGCTTTGTGCGAAAAAGGCATCGTGTGTTCTAAAACAGGAACTCGTACTGGAAAATCCTTTAGAGCTGCACCGTGTTAGTATCCGCGTTGAAGATATTAATGACAATTCACCGCATTTAAAGAGGAGTCACTTAAATTCGAAATTCAGGAATCAGCGGTCAAGGGTGCACGTTTTCTATTGGATGAGGCGCACGACGGAGACATCGGAGAAAATGCTGTTCAGGGCTACTCACTTCAACAGAATGACCATTTCAAATTAAATGTAAACACAAAGGCAGGTGGGCGAAAGCATTGTGAATTAGTTTTAGACAAAGAGTTAGACAGAGAGGACAAAACTGAGATCATGTTATTGCTTACCGCATTTGATGGCGGCTCTCCTCAGAGATCAGGCACTGTAGTCATTCACGTCACTGTGTTGGATGCTAATGATAATGTACCAGTGTTTAGCCAGACCGTCTATAAAGCTACTCTGCTTGAAAACTCTCCTTTAGATACAGTTGTAGTCACAGTGAGTGCAACTGATGCGGATGAGGGAGTGAATGGCGAAGTAACTTATGCATTTGACCATGTTTCGGATGAAAACCAAGTTTTCTCTCTGAACCCTAAAACAGGCGAAATTAAAGTGGCTGGATCTATTGATTATGAAAAAGAATCGGCATATGAAATGCAGATCAGCGCCAAAGATGGTTTAGGATTGGCGTCCTATGCAACCTTAGTTATTGAGATTTCAGATATAAATGACAACGCACCGTTATATATCTGAAATCACTCAGTAGTCCCATACCTGAGAACGTGTCACCTGGTACAGAGGTGGGCATCATTAACGTGCAGGACAGAGACTCTGAGAGTAACGGACAGGTCCGCTGCTCCATTCAGCAAAACGCCCCCTTTAAGTTGGTTCCTTCTATTAAAAACTATTATTCTCTGGTGACCACAGGACAACTGGACCGTGAACTAGTGTCTGATTACAACATTACAATCACCGCCACTGACGAGGGCTCTCCACCTCTGTCCTCCTCTAAAACTGTTCAGTTATCTGTAGCAGACATCAACGACAACCCACCGGTGTTTGAGGAACAGTCCTACAGCGCATATGTGACTGAAAATAACAAACCTGGCTCCACTTTATGTTCCGTTAGTGCTCGAGACCCCGACTGGAGACAAAACGGTACAGTGATTTATTCTCTGTTACCCGGTGAGGTGAACGGTGCCCCGGTGTCCTCCTATCTGTCTGTTAACGGAGACACGGGGGTGATCCACGCTGTGAGGTCGTTTGATTATGAACAGTTCAGGAGTTTTAAAGTCCACGTGATGGCCAGAGACAACGGTTCTCCTCCGCTCAGCAGCAACGTGACCGTCAGTGTCTTCATATCGGATGTGAACGACAACTCTCCTCAGATACTGTACCCCGCCCCGGAGGGCAACTCCTTCATGACCGAGCTGGTCCCCAAAGCTGCACACGGAGGCTCTCTGGTGTCCAAAGTGATAGCGGTGGACGCGGACTCCGGACAGAACGCCTGGCTGTCCTATCATATAGTCAAATCCACTGATCCGGGACTTTTCACTATCGGGGTCCACAGCGGAGAGATCAGGACCCAGCGGGACATTTCTGAGTCTGACAGCATGAAACAGAACCTTATTGTGGCAGTGAAAGATAACGGACAGCCCTCTCTCTCTGCCACCTGCTCCATGTATTTACTTATTTCTGATAACTTGGCTGAGGTGCCAGAACTGAAGGACATTTCTTATGATGAGAAGAACTCCAAGCTGACGTCATACCTGATCATCGCGCTGGTGTCTGTGTCCACCTTTTTCCTGACCTTCATTATCATCATCCTGGGTGTGAGGTTTTGTCGCAGGAGAAAGCCCAGACTGTTGTTTGATGGAGCAGTCGCCATCCCCAGCGCTTATCTCCCCCTAATTACGCAGATGTTGACGGCACAGGAACTTTACGCAGCACTTACAATTATGACGCCTACCTGACAACGGGTTCTAGGACCAGTGACTTTAAGTTCGTGTCATCTTACAATGACAACACACTGCCTGCTGACCAGACTCTGAGGAAAAGTCCAACAGACTTTGCTGATGCGTTTGGAGATCCTGAAGTCTCTCCAAAGGTACGGCAATCTGAAAACCCATGGTGTTGTGATGTTTCTTCATTTGTACCTGACAGTGCTTGTTAATACGTCCCACAAAACTAGGCCATCATAGAAAAGACGTTTGAAGATGGTGTGGAAAGAGACTTTTCACACAATTGGCAAAATCTGATTGAGTCAGAGGCTTGTATTCTCACAATGTATTTAGGAGGATATCTTTTAGACAAAATTCATGGTACAATTTGAGTGTTTATGTTTTAGACCAAGTGAGATTCACTTAAAACGTTGTTGCTGTTGTCTGGTATACATGCCTTATTGTACTGATAAGACCTATGTGATTCCAGTCAGGTGGTTTCTTATAATTAGGGTATTATCTGATCAGACTCTACTAAAGTTTCCTTATTATTTTTTGTCATATTCTTTGCTTTCAGTGTATTCTTAATTACACATGGATTCATATTGAACCAAAAAGGTCTATCGAGTGTTCAAAAACCTTTGTGTCAGTGGGGCTTTAACGTTGAATTGGCTAACTCTATAGAAACATTGGTAGTTTTTACTTGGTGCTATTGTGGCTTGTATGACTTTTAATAGGAATGAAAAAGAATACGCTCATAGAAACATATTTTTTTTCCTTTCTCTCCTGTTATCTGTCTGTCTGTCAGCTTTAGGGTTTGGTAGTATCTTTAAGCCTTTCAACAGATATGATTAGTTTGAATTATTCCGTGTATGACTTTGCATCTTGATGTATTGTAAGAACGTATTTCATTTTTCCGGTTAACCTGTGCTTAAGTATATCAGAAGACTGATCTGTGAGAGACAAAACATTAACAATATTAATAGCATAACTCATTTTAATAATAATAGTTTTAGCGTATTTACAGTGTGTCATTTCTTTTTTCCACTCATGGTGTCGCTATACACCAGTCTACCAGAAACATTTCCACTCCACCCGTTCGTGTATAGACCAATAAAAGGGCAATTTTCCAGTTGCTGTTGGTCCTTGGATGAAGACAGAGTAACTGCTGAGGGCTTTTCATTTTCATTTGACTTAACTGTATAATCCTTTTTGATTTTGTAATCAAATCCAGGACATTTGTTCTGCAACAAACGCATTGCCATGATGGGGCTTCAGCAGGGCTGTTTTGTTTTCGTTCTAATGTGGCAAGCCGTGCATGGGGACGTGAGCTACTCGTTTCAAGAGGAAATGAAGCGCGGATTTCTTATTGGGAATATAGCAAAGGATCTCCACCTGGACTCGAGTAAACTGTCTGCTAGAAATGCCCGTGTTGATGCCGCAGGGAATCGCAAGCGTTTTTGTGAGATCAATCTCAGTAGTGGGGATTTATTTGTGGCCGAACGGATTGACCGAGAAGGGCTTTGTGGAGAAAAGCTGTCGTGTGTGATAAAACGCGATCTTGTACTGGAGAATCCTCTGGAACTTCATCCTTTCAGTCTTCACATTCAAGATATTAATGATAACTCGCCGCAATTTAACGAAGAATCCATCAATATAGAAATTCGAGAGTCCGCAGACAGGGGAGCTCGTTTTGTGATAGAAGAGGCGCACGATGCGGATGTAGGACAGAATTCAGTTCAGCAGTACAGCCTCGAAAAGAATGACAATTTCATTTTGGCTGCTAATGGAAACACAATAGAGCTTGTTCTTGATAAAGAGCTTGATCGAGAGAAACAAAAAGAGATCAATTTGCTCCTTACAGCTCTAGATGGTGGCTCCCCTCAGAGATCAGGTACAGCAGTGATACACGTCACCGTGCTGGATGCTAATGATAACGCCCCAGTGTTCAGCCAGGCCATTTATAAAGCTAGTCTGCCTGAAAACTCTCCTTTAGATACTGTAGTGGTCACAGTGAAGGCAACTGACGCAGACGAGGGAATCAATGGAGATGTGATTTATGAATTTGGACATGTTACTGAAGATGTGAAGAAAATATTTAGTATCGACCGTAAAAATGGCAAAATAAAAGTTACTGGTGCGATTGACTTTGAAACTGTTACCACATATGATTTGCGCATTAGAGCAAAAGATGGTTTAGGATTATCCTCATACACAAAGGTAACTGTTGATGTCACCGATATCAATGACAACATACCTGTAATCTTTGTTAAATCTCTGGCAAATGCCATACCTGAGAACGTGTCACCTGGTACAGAGGTGGGAATCATTAACGTGCAGGACGCAGATTCTGATAATAACCAACAGGTCCGCTGCTCCATTCAGCAAAACGCTCCCTTTAAGTTGGTTCCTTCTATTAAAAACTATTATTCTCTGGTGACCACAGGACAACTGGACCGTGAACTAGTGTCTGATTACAACATTACAATCACCGCCACTGACGAGGGCTCTCCACCTCTGTCCTCCTCTAAAACTGTTCAGTTATCTGTAGCAGACATCAACGACAACCCACCGGTGTTTGAGGAACAGTCCTACAGCGCATATGTGACTGAAAATAACAAACCTGGCTCCACTTTATGTTCCGTTAGTGCTCGAGACCCCGACTGGAGACAAAACGGTACAGTGATTTATTCTCTGTTACCCGGTGAGGTGAACGGTGCCCCGGTGTCCTCCTATCTGTCTGTTAACGGAGACACGGGGGTGATCCACGCTGTGAGGTCGTTTGATTATGAACAGTTCAGGAGTTTTAAAGTCCACGTGATGGCCAGAGACAACGGTTCTCCTCCGCTCAGCAGCAACGTGACCGTCAGTGTCTTCATATCGGATGTGAATGACAACTCTCCTCAGATTGTACCCCGCCCCGGAGGGCAACTCCTTCATGACCGAGCTGGTCCCCAAAGCTGCACACGGAGGCTCTCTGGTGTCCAAAGTGATAGCGGTGGACGCGGACTCCGGACAGAACGCCTGGCTGTCCTATATATAGTCAAATCCACTGATCCGGGACTTTTCACTATCGGGGTCCACAGCGGAGAGATCAGGACCAGCGGGACATTTCTGAGTCTGACAGCATGAAACAGAACCTTATTGTGGCAGTGAAAGACAACGGACAGCCCTCTCTCTCTGCCACCTGCTCCATGTATTTACTTATTTCTGATAACTTGGCTGAGGTGCCAGAACTGAAGGACATTTCTTATGATGAGAAGAACTCCAAGCTGACGTCATACCTGATCATCGCGCTGGTGTCTGTGTCCACCTTTTTCCTGACCTTCATTATCATCATCCTGGGTGTGAGGTTTTGTCGCAGGAGAAAGCCCAGACTGTTGTTTGATGGAGCAGTCGCCATCCCCAGCGCTTATCTCCCTCCTAATTACGCAGATGTTGACGGCACAGGAACTTTACGCAGCACTTACAATTATGACGCCTACCTGACAACGGGTTCTAGGACCAGTGACTTTAAGTTCGTGTCATCTTACAATGACAACACACTGCCTGCTGACCAGACTCTGAGGAAAAGTCCGACTGACTTTGCTGATGCGTTTGGAGATTGTGATGCTTCTCCTGAGGTAGGAACAGGTGCCACATCTCGTTGGTCCTGTTATTAGCTGACACCCATCGAATATGTTCCATAACTGTCTTTGTATTTGGTTAATTTAGTTCCAGTTCAAAGTTTCTACAAGCTATAATGCCTAGATGTTGTTTTTTAGGTGTCCCTAATTGTGATCTAACTTGATGGGGAAAGCATTTAGCTGAGCATCTGAAATATTGATTTTAGTTGTGTTTTTTATATCCAGATTCAGTGTTTATTTTGTTTTGTTTGGAGGAAATATTCTTTCAAGCGGTTTGACTCTAATGTCTGGCTCGATTTTTTTACCGGTTTACCAATCACCAGTCATTTAGCTGTATGCACACAACCATTCTTTGCATCTCAAGCACGTTTTTAGTATTTCTGTTGAAACATCATAGATTGTCTATCTATTCCTCCGTCCATCTCTTTCTCCTCATAAATTGTTCAGTCTTTTTTTCTTCAGTATATATTGACTCTTCTATCCCAAGCTCTTCAAGTGAAATTCAATTGTAGTATGAGTGTCTTTAAATGCTGTTGGTCAGATTAGCTGTTACGTCTAAGATTATACTGTAATAAGTTTGTATTTATGAGTACACATCACTGGTGCGTTCACATGTTTGTCTAGTTGAGCTGCATCTAGTACACTGTGTCTGTCCTTTGTGCTGCCTCGCTGCTACTCTGTTGTTGCTTTTTCAGTAGCAACTTACATCCGTCCTGTTATATATTACAATTTTAAAATATAAATATGCTTATATGTTTTAGATTTTAGCTTTCCTTATATCCAGACATGTCCACTTTGTAAGTGATGTTGTTCCTCTCCATTGTTTTCAATGAGAGGAAAAATCCCATCAGATGAAATGAGAAATATTCAACTTCTCCGTTAGTAAAATATTATGTATTTAATTGCTTCCCGAGGTCCTACAACTTACGTCTATTTTATAGTTTTCTATATTAGTAATTTAGTTATGTACCAATGCAACAAGTGCTATAATTTTCATCTAAAGAAAATAACATTTTTTTCAGAAGTGGTGGGTAGGTCCTTACATTTTGTTTTGATAACTGATGCACATGAGTTTTCCCTTTTCAAACTGTTTAATTTCTTAAATTAATTTGATTCTTTTGTCATTATTATATTATACATTTTCATTGACTAATATTTCACAATGGTAATCTTAAGTTACTATGCCCCAACATTGTACGAATCACAGATTAACATACGTTGGTAGGAAACATTCATAAACATTACTAACAAAACATTTTCTGCTCTTATCTGACATGCCCGACTATAATTTGAAGAATATCTATTACCATCAATGTAGGTGAAGCTGTTATATTTTGTTTATAGATTGATTCTATTAGTCTGACACTGACATTTCTCGAAAAACATATTGCTGTTTAAATCCAGCGTCTGAATGTAGACAGACAGAGAGATGGAGATATGGACTTATCTGGGAGCTTGTCTGTATGGCATTTAACTCCAGAATAAAAGCTAAGACCAGGGTCACATATGCTGGAATTTGTTTGATTTAGTTAAGT